CCCTGGAACGGGGTGCCCGCCTTTGCTCACCTCTCCCACAGTGTTTTCTGGTGTATAGATGAAAAATCCTAGTGGTGCTAAGTAGGCTTATTCCTTAAAAATGCAAGCGAGGCTGCTGTCCTCCCTGGGTTCCTGCAAGGTGCAGGGAGTCTGCGGAGGGATTTTTGGGTGAGGGTTTTCTGGCTCTATCCCTTACAGAGCTCGTGGTGCTGTGATTATTCTCCCAACAGTCGCTTTAACTTCCAAAGCTTCCTGCCCGCATATGCAGGAGCCCTTCGTTTCTGTTTTTGCCACCATTGCAACGTGGGTTGTGCATATCTTGCGGGCGGGATGAGATCCTTGGCAGCGGTGCTAATCAGATGGAACCGCGCTCTGCTCGGCGGTGTTTTGTTGCTGTGTGTGTGTAAACCTGCATGCATTAGGATAAGCAGGGTAGCTGCACGCAGGTGGGGTCCCCTTGCTGCAACCCAGCAGGCCGTGTCCTGCCTCCCTCCTCGGGATACGGGCAGCTTCCATGGCAGGCCGTGCCGGCGGGACCTTTCCTGGCCGTTTCTGGGTACTATAAGTTTCCCAGCACTCGCTTTATGGTAAAACTGAGGGAGAGCCTTTGCTAAGGGAGGAAGAGTGAAATATTTACAAACACAGCTCCTAGCTTGCGTATGGATAAAATAAACTTAGTAACAAGAATGTTGGAGGATGTGCCAAGAACTTAGCTACTTAAGAACCCTACTTAGAAAAGCGAGGAGGATTTTACATACTAAGGAAAGTGTTGTTGATTATATACACTAAAATACCTTTCTCTCTCTCTCTATATATATATTTTTCATCATGTTTGAGCAAACTGCTTATTCCATCCAAGCGGATTTTCCTTCTAGTGTTTCTCAACTTGTGAAGACCTCTGTGGAAGGAGAGTTGGGAGCTCAGGCGGCTTCCTTGCTCCGCCGGAGGAAAGAGTTAAACAAATCTTGCCCCTTTTGCACAGATAGACCCTTGAAGGAAATACACTTTCTGAATGTTCAAATTAGGTAGGAAGCAGAAGAATCGATGGTCTGTATTAGCCATTAGGTGCTTAAATTAGTTGGTTTCAGGTTGGGTATTTTGGACACTAACCTGGGTGGGGAGGAGGCCGCTACTCCCACCAAGGTATGGAGAGAGGGAGAGGGGGGCTAAATATAAAACGAACTTTTCAAAACCACCGTGTCCTTCTTGGCTCCATTCCATTTTTTTTTTTTTTTTTTTTTTTTTAATAATAGTTGACCAGATTTAGGTTCTCAGATGCATGCTGAAAACTAAAAAGGGCTACCTCTCCAAGGTGCTAAGTGTTTGTCCCATGAATTACAAAGCAAAACTAGATTGTTCGGGGTACCTCTCTCATCTGTAGTTTTGTGGTGATGTGGGGGTGGCTTCCCCCCCACCCCCGTCTGGGATCATTCCCAATTCCCTCTATCTCTTTTCTGTCTTTTAGGTGCTCTTTCTCCCAGCTCCTCCCACCACTGTGCTTTTAAAATTACCTTAGACCTCTTCTTCCTCCCTGGGTTTTGGAATTTCAGCAAAGATCCCCTAAGTAAAAAGCTTAAAAAAATGAGAAAGTTTTGGGGGGAGATCCTTTCTTCAGGGCAAGTCCCAGTGTGTCCCAGCAGTTCCTTAATCATATTTTTAAGCTGCTTTTTATGTTGCTTTTTGGCTAATAGAAACATGAGCGTGGAATGCTTGGCTTAGAAGATTAGTTTTGTGACTTCTTTTTTTCTTTTCTTTTGAGTGGATTCTTAGATCTTGTAGAAGTTAATGGCACTTGAACAGGTAATTTTACTTGTAGCCACAGGCAGTCAGACTTTACAGGGTTTTTTAATCTTCACAGCTACTTTGGATAGATACAACTGCAGCTAAAGTCTTTATCTTTTTTGACCTCACCAGACTTCTCAAGCTTCCTACCCTGTCAGGTGTTTGCTTTTTAAATGCTGGTTAGGATGTGATATGGATGGTGTTGGATCCGAAGCCGGATGAGCGACAGGGAGAGCAGAGATGAAAAACAGGGGGATGAGGAAAACAGCTGTTTCTGTCCCAGGATGGTGGTCGCTGTGATGGAGAGAAAGGAAAAGGGACAGAGTTAAGAGAAGGGAATAGGTGAAATGCAGAGCAAACACTGAGCAGGGGGAATGGCAGGGAAGCCTTTGGAAGCAGGGTCTGTGTGTGCAGCCTGTCCTGGTGTGTCAGGAACTGGCAGCAATCCCGCTGCTCCACAAGGAGAGGTGCATCCCCTTGTACTGGTAAAATGTCACCACGTGGAATACCATATTTCTTGCTGCAAAGCTTTTACAGGAGCAACCCCCCACCACCACTTTTACCTTCTTTTCTACCACTTTTACCTTCTGTTCAGTATTTGCAACATTGTCTGTAGCTTCATGCCTTTTTTTCTTTTTTTTCCCCAGAATTTCTTCCTTTTTGTAAAGGGACGCAAGCTAGTTGGTATCATTGTGCATGATGCTCTTTTGCTTGGGGATGGCGTTGACATGAAGGCAGGGATGCCGTAGAGTTGGGCAGCTTTAGAACTCAAATTTCTTAATGACATCTGCATGATGTGGGAGCATCATTTTAAATTTTCTTAGGTAAACGGCTGTGCAAGGAGATGGGAATAATAACTGTGAGATTAGATTAATATGAAGCCTGTTTAAAATGTGTAGATGGCAGTTGTCACAGAAATATTAAATGAATCTTTATGGTGTTAATTAGAATACACAAAAATGTTATAATGAAACTCTCATTCAATCAGGTATTGTTTTTTTGAAGTGATTTCTCCAAGGCACTTCTCTCTAGAAGTATAGTCCAAAGCTTTTAGGAGTCCTATAATTTATATGTTAAACCTTAATTTACATAAGGGCTAAATCAGTCCATTTAACCTTAGAAATGTTTCAGATTATTTCTTGTTGGAAATGGTAAATAAGTGTTATAAATGATTCAGTTATTGGTTTACTTTTGAAGAAGCTAAAAGTAATAGGTCCTTGTCTGTAGGAAGCATTTGGGATTTTTTTAATAGTTTCTTATAAATACATGACGCTACATTTTTGTGTGTGTGTTTCATCTAATGATTTAACTTTTGCCTCCTTTTCATTCCCAAATACAGGACACCAGATAAACCTTTTGGAGATTGTTCTTGGAGACCGTTTTCCTCTGTTCACTAAACATGTGCTGTAGAGCTGTGAGACATTGTGGCGTTTATTTTTGCTAACAGAAGATACTTTCAATACTGGTAAGTTTTGAGAATTTAAAGTCTGGTTGGTTGGCTTGGTTTGCTTGTTTTTAAATTCAGTGCGGTAAGGAGGAAGACTAGTGGGACGTAGCATTCTCATTATGGCTTCTGGTTCTTCAAAATTTGACTTAACACTGATGAAAAAGGCTGGTGTAAAAGTCTTACCCAACCACAAAAGTTGAAGAACTGTTAGTGCCTATTCTGCTGCTCTTATGGTATGATAAAGACCATTAATCATGGTCAGTTGGTTCAATAAGAAGAGGAAAACAGGTGAAAAACTTGAAGTGAGAGGAAAATGGAAGAGCTCTGCAAAATAAGAAGGGTCTTGTGTATAGCATCTTAGCAGCCTTTTCTGGCTCATTTTGTGACTGAGTCAGAGGTATAAATGAGAGTCTGAATAGTGAGAGTCCCAAAACTAAGTGAAAATGTGTATTACTTCAGCATCCAGGCCAGCAAAGACACTTCCCATGTGCCTGTGTCATCCACCCTGCTCTCTTTTTTGTTAAACTGCCTGAATAACAGGGCTAAAAAGCTAGCCAAAATAATTGCTATGGAGAAGCAATCAGAATTAAAGAAAGGCAAGACTTGGCAGTCTGAAATAGAAATTGAGAACAGTCAGTGGTATTTGCTTGAATTGGGTCATATTTGTTTTTAAGATTTTCAGTTGTGCTCATTGCCATAAGACTGCTCAGGTTTTCCTTATTACTTCATTTGTTTATTAGAATATATTAAGTCACCATTTATAATTGCTAGAGTTTGTATTGGAAAAGCTTTCTTAATTTGTCTTCTGATAGTTTTTCTGCAATCTGTCATTGTAGAGGGTCAATCTAGAAATCAACAGTATTGACTTATGGTTTATTATTTTCATGAAGGGAGCTAATCTATATATAGAAAACATCTCAAATATGGAGATGAGAAAACTACGTTTTGAATAAAAGTCTAGTCAAACACTTAAATTGAAGTTAAATGTGGCAAGTGTAAGGGGTGTTATTCTAAGGAAAATAGTGTATTTTGTGGAAGAGAGAGATAAAAGAAGGTAGTAAGAATGGCTGCATCTTCACATATAAATAGGGCAGAAAACCTTTGTGTGTATTAGTGTCAGAAAAATTCTTATTTTTATACACTCTGATCATGAATGTTAATGTTTTATCTGAGGAGTCTAGCTCTGAATATACACTATTATACATATGTACATATTTCATACAGGATTTTCAAAGTTTTGGCATTGTTTAGTCTCTTAACCTACAAAGGCATCAGCCACTACATACTTGCAATTAAACATTTCAAGGGGAGGTTCTCCTGAATATTCCATTGCAGACTTTTTAGAAGTTGTATTGGTAGCTTTTAAATACAGTATTTTATAGGTCAGATAAGGTAAATTAGTGTCCCTCAGGCCACAAATGTCTCTTTAAAGAGTCATTAACATGAGACTATTTTGAAAAGCTACCAAACAGGAAATATTGTTGTTCCAAGGATCTGTTTGAAGCTTTAGCTTCTAAAATTAGATATTTTTTTCCCATACTTTTTCAGAAGGAACTGTTGCTTAGGTTGTTGCATAAGGGTAACCCGTCTTTAATTACCTGCACTGTATTGATACGCATTTAAGTTGATATCTTTATTAAGTCATAACTAGGTGTTTCATACCTGTGAACTTTGGGGGAAGGAACTTCAGAATGTGTGATTGTTACTTGGTAATCTTACAGTTTAATACCTTTTTCTATTCCTGGTTTTTTGTTTTTGTTGTAGTTCTGTCCTACAAGAGTTCATACCGGTGTTGTTTGAAGGCTGCAGAAAAGTGCACTCCCTGTGCGGCCCTGGGACTGTTGATGTCCTCGGCTGTTGTAGGAGAAACACTAGACCTGGAACCCACTTCCTTACTGGTAAGGAATAATCGTTTTGGAGTTGTTTTGGTTTTGAATATTTCAGTTTGCATGCTTTCTTTAACAAAATAACTACAAATCATGTTGCTGTTTCCTCATTTAAGAACATTATACCAAACACTGCAACTCTGCTGTGTTTTGGTTGGTGGTGAGTTGTCATCCTCCCCCCTTCCCTCTTGCTTCCCCAGTTCTCCCCCTAGTTTCTGAATGTATTTGTCCAAACTTCCCCCTTTCCAGACTGTGGAAACTGATGCTCTCCCTTAGCTTTATTTTCAGACCTTCTTTTCTCTTGAAGTTCTTCATGTACCACAAGTTAATGAAGGTTAATAGATGATTTTTTCCAAAATAGCTTCAGACATGCTGCTTCTTATGACACCCCGATGTTGTGCCTCTCCAACCTTATTTCTTGGGGATGCAGAGGCTCCTCTGTCCTTGAAATACATGATGTTCTGTCAAATCATCTACCTGAGGTTACTAGGTCACAGCCAAATTACTGGTTTAAAGTTCTGGGTGCTGAGTGAAAGGTGTAATGATTGCTCCTTGCTATTTTAGGGTTTAGTTATTGGAATTGGGATCTGCTTGTGGTTCATATCGAAATTGCAAAAGCAAAACTTAATGATAAGATGAACGTCTGGAATCGTGTTTCGAATATTCTTATTCTTTTTGTTGTAATTGTATTTTAGGGTTTAGTCATTGGAATTGGGGTCTGCTTGTGGTTCATATCAAAATTGCAAAAGCAAAACTTAAGATGAACGTCTGGAATCGTGTTTTGAATATTCTTATTCTTTTTGTTGTAATTGGCCATCCTTTAACTCCCGATACGTTTGTATCTACCTTGTTTGATGTCAGAGGCAATTGTAACGTGATGATGTGATCGTAGTTACTGCGTTTCCTGACTAAATCTCGTGCAGACAGAGCAGGAGTTGTAACGTCCTCACCTGCACAGAGAGCTCGCATGGTTGAAGGGGTGAGTTCATCTTTGCTGCTGTTGGCAAGGTAGTGTTTGGCTTGAAATTAGAAAAACTTTAGTGAATTCTCATCAGGCAGTTGATAATTAAGTATTTGTAGAGTTACTTTGCCATACACTTATTGCAAATATTGAGAGTGGGCCTCTCAAATCTAATGAAAATACAATAGTAATTTTTTAAATTCATGGAAGATTGTGTGCCTCCCTTGCCTTTTTTATGATTCTACAGTATTTCTCAAACTGAAAGGCAAAACTTTTTCTTCCTTCAACTTCCAGCCTACAGGGACAAATGCTCGTTTTTTTCTAAGCCATCATTAAACACACTCATCCTCATTCATAAAATTGACTTATTGATGTTTTCATGAAACCTTGAGTTGCAATTAACATCCTTGGGCCAAGGAGCTGGTTTGTTCTCCCTACAAACGTCTGTTCCTCTTTGAGTTCACAGTTGTAGCTTGAATGAATGACTGAATCAATGAATGATCCGTTTCTTGAATCAAGCAGATTGTTTTTGGCAGCTGTTCATTTTTCATAAGCTGTTACTTATATTTGTGCCCTAAGTTTTGTTCATAACAAATGTTTGCATATTTAGTGTAAAGAAATTTAATTAAGCTTATAAAACTGTGTGCTGCGCTTCCCCAAATGTGTCTGTGGGGAAAAAACTTCAGTTTTGGAGACTGGTCCTTGGAAAAACTCATGAGTGCTGTCTCTGCAGGGAATGATCCTCCATCAATAATCCGATTCTTCTGCTTTCCTTTTCATTTAAGAGAATGATCTAAGTATGGGTACTTTTTTTTTGGGTTTCTAAGGTTAGTGTTTTTAGCTGGTTTGTTTTCACCTCTAGCTTTGTGTTCTTCATAGGCCACGTGGATATGATGGATCGTGCACCCTTCTGTGGTCTTTACTGGAATAAAACCAAACCCAGTAGATACTGCGCCTTGCTGTGCAAGGAGGAGTCTCGAGTCTGCTCTCACCTTACAGGGCTCCCCTGCGGAGGAATCTCAAAAATGTTGGAATGCTGGTGGGAGCGGAGCCCTGGCAGGGCTGGGGGGAGCCGAGAAGTGGGGGGCGTTCGTTGATGTTTTGCATGATAAACTCGGAGTTAATTTCAGTTCTGCCTTGGTCTGTTTTCCCATCCCTCTGAAGGAGAGGGCGTGGAAAGGGCCCACATTTCCAGCTGGATTCTGGTTGGCCCTTTTCCCTAGGGAGCAGAGTGGCTGCTGGAGGAGCGTATGACAAACCAGGGAGTATTTTGGTGCGCCGATTCCTGCGTACTTCATCGGAAGTGTAGAAACTTATATTCACAAACATGCAACAGAGAAACATGTAAAAAACCAAAAACAAAAAGATTTGTACCAGGCTTTCAATTGATCAGAATAACTATAATCTGGTTTTGTTGTTGTTTCTCCTGAGTGAAGGGAATGAAGTGCCTCAGAAAATTATTTTTGTCCCCAAGATTTCCCAGGGGATAATACTGTAGACTTTCTTCTGTGTTGCTGTTTTCCTTTTTATCTGTGTTTCATTTTTATAATTTAAATAAATCACTGAATTTTACATGCAACAAATTTGTACCCCTTAATTTTAATGGTGTTAAGATTTCTGCAGGGAACTTATTATATGTATTATATGCTGAGAGGTTAGGCTTTGTAAACGCTGCTGCTTCCTCTTTGGAGAACCCTTCCAGCATTAAGTGATGCCTGTGTTTGTTTAGGCTGTTATTATGTCCTCAGGTGTTATTTTTATGTTCAAACAGTTTGCGCTGATGATGCAAAATAAACACTTTCCATAAACGCTGTATTTGTAGAACTGGGTTCATTCTAGCTGGGGGTTAAAGTTTATATAAATTATTAATGCTTAGTTTAAGACCAGGTTTGTGACAGCAGGAAAAACACCAAGCTGTCCTATATCTTGAGAGAACTTTGCATGCAGGTGGTTATTAAATCTGCTCATGCTCAAGACCTTGTCTGGTTTTTATGGTTACCTGCAAGTGCTCTTTGCTCAGGAGCAAAAATAAAACCCCGCAGGTTATATCATTATATCCATCCATGTCCTTTATTTGTAACTAGAAAGTTACAGGATTAATGTTCACTGCAAGTAGCATTCTCCACTTACAAAACACCAAGGATTGAGTGTGTTTTTCCAGCAAGCCTTCCTGGTTTGGAGAAAAGTTACTCAATTTTCCCGGTCAGAACTTTCTTGGAGACTTGTTTGGATGCATCAAGTGGAACCAGGCTTAAAACATGCTAGTAAGCTTGAAAATCTCCACAGTGTTTTTATCTTTCTTATATCTCTCTTTTGCTAGTGGTTTCAAGGGGGTTGCATTTCTAAAGAAATCTTTGCATAGCCTCTTTTAAGTGGAGATACACATCGTTACAAGGAGAGGAAAAAATAAAAGCCACAAAACAGCATGTTAAATTGGAACACAAGAGCAGAGGGTTTTGAAGCTTGCTGAATTTTTAACTACTAGCAAATTGCCTTAAATTTAACTTGGATTAGTTCCCTAGTGATCCTTGACATTAAACGGATGTGCTGGTTTGACATGGGTAGACAGAAAACTAATTAATTCCTCTGAATTTGAGGCATATTTAATTTTCTCCCCCAAAGACTTCTCATTTAAAAGGTACAATGATTTGAAAGAGCATCCAGTGTGGAACAAGCTTTGTAAGGTAGCAAACCTCTAGACAGAGGAAGATCAAGACATCTACAACAAGAGTTGTTGTTTTGGAAAATGTTGAATTTCATTGATTAAACTGAGCATTAGTGTATCTATAGCACTGCTTCCATGCTTGGAAGTGGTGATTTAATGTGGCTGCTTGTCGGTGGGATGGGGCTCTTGCTCGTGGTGGGTGTCATCCCCGTTCATCTCTGTCTCATTATACTTGGAACATGGGCAGTTGTCTTTGCATAGAGGAAGGTACATTATTTTACTTGCTTTACAGACATTATTTATTATATTTTAGAATATGAGGTATTTTTGCTTTCTTGTCCTGAAGGTATCCACCCATCATCTGCTTTTGTCTCCAGTGTCTTTGGAAATGTGGACAATTAAGTAAGATCATATAATTGTCATGTGTTAATAACACACTTCTGTTCGCTCATAGCTGACCCGAATGGTTGTTCTGGCAAAGCCTGGTGGGAGGGAGGGAAATTGGGATGGATCTTGTATCCATGTTGGTATTTAGTAAGGATAACATGAACAGAAAATAATAAAACTCAGACAAGATATTTTGTAAACAACCTAGCAATCCCTTCATCCATAAGAAGCACCTGGTTAGTCAGTGTCTGAGTCTCAAATTGGTGCAGTCAAAACAGAAGTAAGAAGAAGCAAATTTATTAATTTGGGTTTTGGTACAGACAGTATAAACAAAAGCCAAGGGGTTTGTAAAGTCCCAAGCAGAAAGATAGCAGCGAGGGGCAATCCAAAAGCACTAAAATAATCGGAATAAGCATGTGAAATGACAGAGAAATAAAATCCCAAGGGGATTTCAAGGTGGAAAACAGTCAAGAGGAAATCCAAGCAGAGATGTTGCATAAACTCACGCAAGCTGAAGATAATGTCAACAAATACTCTTGATGCTAATCTGTACCAAAATGAGGAATGGAAAATTACCCCATTTTATATTTCAACCAGTTCCAGGAAGATCTGCCTTGGAACGTGAATTTTAAGACCTGTAAGGGAACAGCAAAGGGAAATGCTTGTTTTGAAAGCTTGTGATCACTCCATAACTGTGTGCTCTGAGGTTCCTGCATCTCCCTCTGAAGCGTGTGGCTATGGCAGCAGCTGAAGATAGGATGGATGATGGACAATTCATTTGATCCTATGTGGCAATTCGTATTTCCTGAGGGGACTAGGCTGAGTCTTCAGCTCCTAAAAGTAGATGCAGTCGTGGTTTCTGGAAGAAAGACAGCACTGAACTGTCCGCCTCCCTTAATAGGTGGTTCTCCCAAACACAAAGACGTTGTGAAGCCACGTTGTGAAGCCACCTTCAGAGCATGGGAGTTGTGGACCCAGGTGTCATTTTTGGAGGTGGAACTTACTATAGCAGAGCAAATTTAAGCTTTTGGAAGAAAGGGGGAGATAGTCTTTCTTTGTATGGCAACTCAACGCTCTTAATTAGTCAGACCCTCAACTTCTGCTACGTGGTATTTGAAACTTGGCATTGAGACTTAGATAAGTGGTGTATGTTGGATAAACTGCCGAAATGATGCCAAGGAAGTTTAAAAAAAAAAAAAAAAAAGAAAGAAAGAAAAGGAAATCAAAAGGTGTGTATGGAATTGCAAAGCTAGTACTTGCTGAGGGAGTGAGAATTGCATCCTGAGCCCATCCTGGCGCTGCCAGCTGCCTTGGTTAGCAAGTGCCTTGGGTGTTTGAAGGTTGAAGGTGTTTCAGCTGGGAGATGGCCACGATGTCAGAGCAGGATTATCCTGGAGGCTGGAAGGGTGGTAAGACCTTGGTAGAGGCTGACTGGGCAGCAAATTACACTGTGTGATAGGAGTGACCTACTGAATATCATATGGGGTGTGATGTATGTTTAGTCCATAATGATGCATTGCTTCTCTTGTATTTATGCTTTGCCAGCAGGATAAAGTTCATTCAGAAAATTTTTGTGCTGTTGATTACAGTTAGCATTTAACTTCTATTGCTTGTTTTGAAGTATCTGAGGAGGCTAATTTTAGAAATAACTTACAAGATGTCTATACTACTACTTTTAACTAGCTTTCATTGGAGCATATTGGGATGTTTTCGGGAAGATCAGAAGTCCTGTGGATTCTTATCAGCTCCATTGGATGTTCTACTTTCTTGCCTGTAGAAGCATCCTTCCTAAATATGCATGTTGAGGTGACTATTAGGAATTCCTTATACATCATCTTTGGATGGTGGTGGAATAAACTCAGATAAGGCATCGAAATAATATGTTTTATTGTCAAGTTAAAAATCTTGTGCTAAAAAGTAGTGAAGCTTCAAATAGCATTAATTTCATAGTTCTGAGCCGTTGCCAATTTAGTTTGGGTGGAGACTTTGATCTGTGGCCTTGGATTTGCCTGTTGCTCTTCTGACTTGAAACTGGTATTTTTAGCCTCTCAATCGCAACATAGCAAAGGAAATAGCTGGTTTTGGTTGTCTGCTGTTTGAGGAATTTACTTGTTCAGTGTACTGTGCGTCCTGCTTTTTTTTTTCCAAGAAAAATATGTTGCAGAATGCTCTTCAATGGTTTGATCTGTCGACAGGGTTTTGAGTGCAATGCTCTTAAAAATCAAACTTTACTGAACCCAAGCAGTAAAAACTGACGGATGTTTTACGCAGGACAGGTTTTCTTATGAGTCTGTAGTCAGTTAAAGAAATGTTAGTCTCAAGTGTTATGAGGCACTGGAGCATTGAACTTCAAATCTAGTCCCTTTTAATGTAAATTATTCAAGTCCAGCATAAATAAGCTGCAGCTTTTAATGAATGTGCAGCCTTTCTAGGCAGTGGTTGTATTTTGTGATGTTCTTTCAAGCTGGACCCATTACCTTATTTGCTACAATTTGGTTTGTCTTGTTTAGTCCTTGGAAAAGGTCTATGAGCTCTGATTTTTGATGTAATGCTCCCTGCTGCTTCTCCTTACAGGACTTGTGGAAGCGGAAACACAAAGATTTCCAAATGAATAACCGAAAGGAAGATATGGAGATTGCGTCCCACTACCGTCACCTGCTTCGCGAGCTCAACGAGCAGAGGCAGCACGGCATCCTCTGCGACGTTTGCATCATAGTGGAGGGCAAAATATTTAAGGCTCACAAAAACGTGCTGCTCGGGAGCAGTCGCTACTTCAAAACGTTGTACTGCCAGGTGCAGAAAACGTCCGACCAGGCCACGGTCACTCATTTAGACATCGTAACTGCGCAGGGCTTCAAAGCAATCATTGACTTCATGTACTCGGCACACCTCGCGCTGACCAGCAGGAACGTCATCGAGGTGATGTCGGCTGCCAGCTATCTGCAGATGACAGATATTGTACAAGCCTGCCACAATTTCATAAAAGCGGCTCTTGATATAAGTATAAAGTCTGATGCCTCGGATGACCTTGTTGATTATGAGCTTGGAGCTCCTTCTAGCAGTAGTACGGATGCTTTGATCTCAGCAGTGGTGGCTGGGAGGAGTATATCCCCCTGGCTAGCGCGGCGCACGAGTCCGGCCAACTCCTCTGGAGACTCTGCCATTGCCAGCTGCCACGAAGGAGGGAGCAGTTATGGAAAAGAGGATCCGGAACCAAAAACAGACAGCCACGAAGACGTTTCATCCCAGTCTCTTTGGTCTAGCGACATGGGCTATGGGTCTTTACGTATCAAAGAGGAGCAGGTTTCGCCGTCGCATTACGGAGGGAGCGAGTTGCCTTCTGCCAAGGATAGTGCAATACAGACCGCGTTCTCGGAGCAGGGTGTCGGGGACGGCTGGCAGCCCACGGGGCGCAGAAAGAACAGGAAAAATAAAGAAACTGTGCGTCATATCACGCAGCAAGTGGAGGATGACAGCAGGGCAAGTTCTCCAATGCCGTCTTTTTTACCTGCCTCAGGATGGCCGTACAGCAGTCGAGACACGAGTAAGTCCTTTGGCTTTTCCTTCCTGGCATTAACAATGCAGAGTTAACAAAATCTGTTTATGGTATGATCTTATCAGTCTCTAAAATATATTAGCCTATCGTAAACTGAAAAATGTAGGAATCCCTGTTGCCAGGTGTTAGATGGAAGCAGTCAGCTCAGTCGGGAGCTCTAGGGTCGCAGCAATGTAGGCCAGTTCTTCTGTGCAAGAGGCTGGTGGTTTTCCTCTGGTCCTGAATATAGAATGGCTTAAATCACCCCTGAAACACCATTATAATTACCAGAAATAATGAGATAAAAGGTTGAAACTTATTTCAGCAGGTGTGCAAACTCATTGCACTTCCTGTCAAGGTTGAAGAATTTTCCTTGCATAGGATATTGATGCAGTAATTATACCACATATAGGTGTAATTTAGTGAGTCTTAATGATACTATCTTCAGTGCTGCCTGCTATCCAGGTGTCACTTTCTCAAGAATAAGAAAGCTACCGTAGCTTGTTGCTGTTAATAGCAAGAGAAGTGTTTGGTAGCTCTAAGAATAATGTTTTTGTGAGGCTCTAAGACTTAAAATGTATTTTGATATCTGAGTACTTGTAGTCCGAGACAAATGATGACTTCTTTTTCTAAAAGTGTAACCAGGGAGCAAAATGTTTGCTGGGCTCCTTTTGTATCTTCATTAGTTCTTTATTTCTGTCTCAAAATTAAGATAACTGTCCTATTTGACTAATTGGTGCCTATTTTTAGATCCAAAAACACTATTGATATAGCATTCTGTTTTTTTAAGGACTCTAGGGCAAGTGTGGTATTAAACTCCCTAAAGCTGACTTGAAAATCTTGGTCTGTGCCATAGTTAACCTGTGTTAACTGTGTAATTCTGGTATGTGATGAAGGCCAGCAAGGGGAAGGGTGTGTGAGATTATATACCCTTATGTTGACAAATTTAGATTGAAAAAAGCAATATAGCTAGTACTGAAAGCCTGAACAGTTGCTATGTTCTGGGAAAAAATAAATAAGCGACATACCTACTGATACATGAATGTTAAATTTGGCTTTCATTGATGTTTAACTGAATGGGTAACTGTCTAGAAATATCTTTAGTTAGTTGCTTTTACAGTTATCTGCTGCAGCAAGCTTGCCTGAAGTTATTCTAATTGGTTAGTGATAAAATCTAAACAACTTTGGTTAGAAGGAAGATGCCAGATAATTTCAGATAAGAATGATTTATGATTAGTCCTATTTTTGTAATGTGTGTATTTTTGGACTGTTTTGAGTAAAGACTCAGTGTTGACTGTTTGAAATGCTGTTCACACCAAAACTTTTAACAAACTTTCATAAAAACCCTTCAAACACCCCATCCATGAGGTGTGTTTTCTGAGAGGTGCATGAGGCAAGCCCGCGTGTTGGGTCCTACAGAAGCAGAACTGCAATGCTGATCTTAAAGCCTGGTCATAGATTGAGTTTCTTTTGAAAACAGTGCACAATATAAGAGATGATAACGCTGGAAGATGAATGATGTCTGTAGCATTTCACTCCCAACTTAAGGAATTAAAGGTGGATTTTGTTCTTTGTGGCTCTGTGGCTGAGAGGAAGATGGCTCTGGGGTTGACTCGGTGCAGTGCCGAGACAGCTACCTTGGCACATGCAATCAAATTATTTCTTCTGAATCTCCTCTTAAATAGTTTCCAGTTAAAGAGGTGTTTCATGTGATGCGAAAGAGGAAACTGAGTGGTGATTGGGAGGGGATAATTTTGATTTTTTTTTTTTTCCTCAGTGGTGCTAATAAGATGGAAAGAAAAAAAAAAATGAAAAACTGTTATCTTCCTCCTGTCCAAAGTGAGAGAAATGCCGGGGACAGCGGGGACAGGGGCTGTCTCTGGCGCAACCTGCCTGTGTCTGGCTGCTCCTCTAGGAGCAGCGGGGTTCGCCCGGAAGGTACCTCATGGCAGGTCGTGTTTGGAGACGGAGCGACCCGCGTTCCGCATGCTCCCCAGCCTGGGGCCTGGGCAGGGGGGCCATCCTGCCTCCATACGTGAAGGATGGAGGCTTCTCCCACGCGCAGAGCACGGGGAGACGCGTGTTGGTGCTGCGGGGCCTGAGCTCGCAGCACGGGGGTGCTGCCTTGGCGCCAGGGAGCCCCTTCGCGCGCGTGGGGGAGCTCCGTGATCCCTGCGGTGCAGGACCCTTTCTCCCCGGGCTGATTTCTCCTGGCGTTGGGGCTGGGGTGGAAAGGAGAAGGGTTTAGGAGGGTTGGGGGTCCGTGTGCAGTCTTTTTTGGGTGAAAGCTGATGGAGTTGGTCGCTGGGTGCCGTCGGATCCCTTCCAGCGTGCAGGCAGGGAGAGATGGGAGCATCCCCACCGTCCCACCCGTGCTCCCCCGTCTCTGCCGCGTCCCCGCCGGCACGCGGACATCGCCCGGGGCTGCCCGCTTAGCTCCTCTCCACCCAGGATTCTCCTGCGTATGAGCAGGGGGTGGCCTTTGGGATGTGGCTGTGCGCTTCAGTTCTTAAATTTCAGTTCAAAATTGGCTTTGAAGTCAGTAGCGTGAGGCTTATTTCCCCGAGACAAACACCGTGGTCAAAGGCTCTTTGTTCCCTCCTTCACTGGGAAGGGTCCCCGTCCACGCTGGCCATAGCCCTGATGAAAAGGTTCCTCTGCCGAGGAGGAGGGTGTTGAAAGCTGTTTGGTAAATAGGCTAAGAGGAAAAGTTACCCAGAACATTTTTATTCTTTGAGCCTCTTTCTCGTGTTTTGGTCTATTCAGTGGTTTGTTGGATCAAAAAGCCCTGGCTGTGGGATAACGTGGGTGCCATTTGCAGACGGCTGCTGCTGGAGGGCCACACGAGCCGCCTGGCAGGGGGAAACCGATGCGGCAGCATCCAAGTGAACTTCAGCGCTGGGGTTTTCTGCAGAAACTGCACGAGCTCCTCGGCTGCTCTGTCTTGCAGCGCTCTTTCAGCAAGCTGCGAGCCACGTTTTTGGAAAGTAGGTGCTGCAAGTAACACAGATCGAGAATCTGTTTCATTTTTGGAAGGTCTAACAGCTCATTTACAGTTAGTAGTGTTGCTTGTTTCAGTGGGAAACAGATGTTCTTATCAACGCAGGCAGGATGTAGTAAAGCGTCCCATATACTTAAGTAGACTGTGCTTAAATTTGATGAAATGGAGGCTAAAACAGATACAGATTTTATCTTGAAAGGAAAAATCTTTCTGGTTTGGCCGATTCTATTCCAGATGCTGCTGGGGAGCTGCTGAGAGGCTTGGAATTTGATCGCGCTGCCGATTACTCCAGACACTTCATTTTAATCCTGTTAACGATAATCTCGTATCATGGAAATAGCCACAGAAGCAAGCGGTTCTTAGTGTCCTCGTGAAGAGAATATCGGCTTCCCTCGAGAAAAAGCGACCCAACCAGATCTGCAGAAGCATCTGCGCCCAGCCGAGGTGCTGCGCGGTGGATGTGGTTAAGCCCTCGGCTGCCGCGGGGTGTTGTCAGCCGAGCACGAGGGTGGTGCGAGGCCCTGGTTAAATCTGCAGAGGCCTCTCGGGCTTCATGATTCCCACTTTGCTCTCCCAGCCCCAGAGCTTCCTTGCCGCAGTGAGCAGCATTTCACAGGGAGCATCTTTCCTGCTGCTGCCAATTTGCTACCTCGTATTCTGCTTTTAGCGTAAAACCCCTTTGTTCCCTGTCCTGGCTTCCGCAGGGTGTTTGGGTTGTTTAGGATGTCACTGTGTTATCCCACACAGTTCAACACCTACGTGCTTTCCTCATCCAGCAATATTGGAGAAGCAACTCCTTGAGGTAACCCTAAGAATGGGCTTTTATAGCTTGTAACTTTCCTCACAACTGAGCAAAGAGGAATCTTCTTTACTGAGTGCTGAAATAGTGAGTCTACCTTTCACTTAAGTTATTTTTTGAATTTGTAGGTTTTCTGAAGAAAGCTGAGCAAAGAGGAATCTTCCTTACTGAGTGCTGAAATAGCGAGTCTACCTTTCACTTTTGAATTTGTAGGTTTTCTGAAGAAACAGGTTGCAAATTGGTTTGAATATCAAAGATGATCATGAAATTCTAATTAAGTCTCTAGTTTTGAGCATATTCCCCCTGCCCACAATAGTAACCATTGGAATGGTTGCTATTTCAATAACATTAGTTAAACTTTCTACAGGATTACAAATTTTAAGTATCTGGACTACAGAAACTGATGCATTTAAAAGTTCCAGTGAAAGGAAGAGTTGTCTTCACTGGAAGAGTGGTTAAACTAGCAAAACGTTGCATTTTCTTTGCTTCTTCCTGTAGTGGAAGGTTCTGTTGGTCCCAGTGTGTGTGTGGAGGGGGACTGTCTATTGAGGAATTTATTGATGGTTTTTATTAATGTTTTATGTCAAGCATAGTTATGATTCAGGAATTTATTTCTAAGGAATTGCTCCCACACGTCTTCGAATGTTGTACCCAGAAGCTGCAAGTGGTTTTTGTGCCAGTTGGCTACGGAATGAAATGAATGAATCAGAGCTGTCACTTCAGAAGATGCCGCAATTCCGGAACTCCTCGTGCTCCTTTGGTTACGTGTAGTGACTTAGCGGGACGTGATTTGAAACCCTCCTGCTGGAGGGGCAGGAGGAGCCCTGTCTAGCTGAACTCTCAGCTCTGTTTGTGCAGGGGAGGCCCAGGGACCTCTCTGAGCTCAGGTAAATGAAACTGCCTTTTCCTAGCACTCTGTGCTTGTGAAAAAGTCTTTTTTCTGAGCAAAAAAAAGTCTTATTTCTTCCTGTATCCCCTCCACTTTTCTATGGGGATCTTCAAATCCCCACTGTCTTTAGAGGTAAATTAGAGCATGGCATTTTTGCAGCTTTGTCACTTGTTGCAAGGGACGGGATTTTTTCCTGCCCCCTTAGGAAGTTGGGGGTTACCCACCCCTTTGTGCAACTCCTTTTTACAGAGTGTTTTGTGGTGACTCTCAGAAGTGGCAGGGACCTGCGCCGTGTCCCCAGGTGCTCGGTGAGCAGATTC